CATGTTTCCAATTTTTTAAATTAAAATATATAAACATTTATCTTATCATAAACTCATAATAGTTTTATTACTCTAAAATGAAATACAATTTAAATGAAATCTTTTTTTATTGTAATTTTGTATTTACAACAATAAAATACTCACATATTCTTGTAATTATTACTTTCAAAAATTTAGTTACATATTTTCGTTTTTTATTTAATTCCACTTTTAATAGTTATAAGTAAGTAACAATAATAAATATTCATAAACATGAATTAAATGAACATGTTAAAACTTAAATATTTTAAAAAATAGTTTTACTTATGTGGACACTCTAGATAGAGAGATAACTTCCTAGTTATAATAGATTACGATAAATTGGGAGAATACACGATTAAAAGTGGATATTGGTTTGCTTTCTCAAATCACGATTCTTTACACTTATCACTTCCACATGGAGACCCTCTACTCAAGGCAAGGATATGGAGATGAACTATTATGCAAAACTAAAACATTTTCTTTCGAGATTAAATCTTATGCTAAACTAAAGAATTCTCAAAAGCTCTCCTGACATCAACGTGAATAACTATCCTGAAGATGCAGAGGTCAGGTTTGCGAAGAAACAGAGGCTATTACATCAAACAGAGAACTGTACAAGCGGCAATGAACTTAGAATGGCGAAAAAGGTATCGGTCAAGTTTTTCTTAGCTGGATAGTGGATATATACGCTAAAGATTTGAAGAACTTGACGTGCAACCAAATATGGAAGGGATTTACTTGAAGAACAAAAAGTTGTCTTATCGCATATTTGGAGAATATTTATAGAATCTTAGAGTTAGGGTTTGCGATATTTTAGTATATAAAATCTAAGGGTCGTACCTAGNAAAGGTAACACTTAGAGCTGCAAATTTAGAGATTGTAACTTGAAGTTTCGCCAAAAACAAAAGTTGTCAAGAGAGTGTTCCACCCTTTCATTCACTAAAAGCGTTAGATTATAGAGTTGTATAAGCTATTGATTCGTGGATAGAAAACAGTCNAAGAACTAGANGTNTATAGATCTTTATAGGTAAATCGTGTAAATATTACTTATAAAAAATAATAATAGATATTTGGCGTCTTTCANGTAAAATTGTGTGTTGTGCACGTTCATGGAATCAATCTACACTACCATTTACCAAGAAGGTATTAACAGNTAAGAAGAAGTGAAAGAATTAATTCCACGTACATCGGTACATCAATAGAAGTTATGGTAATGAATAAACGGGTTTAATAAATGAATTCATAAGTGGATTTATAAACTTCTATATATGGGATTATATGTTTTGTTTCGAACAATAACAAGCCAAAGTAAAGTGGACATCACCAAAATATGGAAACTAATTAATTCATTCGCGAAAAATATTGACATTTTTNCTCTGCTAACCTAGCTAAGTTTTCTTTTTAAGAATGTTAAATTTTTATTCANAAAACAAAACGTTTTACCAAAAAANTATTAACGGATAAGAAGAAGAGAAATAGTTCCACGTACATCAATAGAGGTTATAGTATTGAATAAACAGGTTTAATAAATGAAATCATAAGTCAATTTACAAATTTTTATAAATGGGATTATATGTTTTGCTACGAACAATAACAAGTCAAAGTAAAATGGACATCACCAAAATAAGGAAACTAAATTCATTCGCGAAAAATATTGCCATTCTTACTCTAACCTAGCTAAGTTTTTTTTTCTTTAAAGAATGTTAAACTTTTATTTAGAAAAAAAGAAAAACGTTTACATCGGGTGCAGCAGTGTTTAAAAATCAATTAGAACATTACCAAAAGACTAGTGATACAATCTACCAGGAGCCACGAGTCTCTCGAACCAAGCGACAAACCTCTCTTTAAGCCTAGCTAAGTTCACATCATCTCCTTCTTAATATGTTTGGCTTAAATCTGCGCAAATTAATAAACTATCACTGGAATTTTCAAGATTTTGGGAAAGTGAAATTTTCAGTAACCAATTCAATCAAGTGTTGAAATGCAAAAATTTAATACTCGACACGTCAATACGGCATTGTATTTATCTACAAACAACTCGTATTATTGAACTACAATCGTTTCAACGTTCCACGTAGAATATGCATCAGCACGCACTAACGGAATTGACTTGCGGCTAATGTGGGTTTTGGTACATAATTTAAGTTCAAGTTGTATTTATATGTTTTATATTCAGTTTGTATCAATTTTAACCCAGTATGTTATAGTTCATGTACGAGCCATGTGTTGGCGATAATTCTGATATAAATTAATTAAAAACAAAACTCTTCAGTTCATGTCCTAAAAAATGACAAAAACAATATATATAAGATAAAAGATTAATTATATAATCTTCTCAACAGCAAAAACAATAACCCAATATCCA